AATTCAAACAGTTTCTGTTATAGTGCTTTAACTTTTCAAAGAGGTAAGACATGAGAAAGCAATACTCAAAATTCAAAATAATGCTATCTATAATACGACTTTTCATATCTTTACAAGACATTAGACTATCAAGTATAAGTATACCTAATTCGAGTTTGGGCTTCAAACGTCTGTATCATATAAAAAAAACTTGTTATTAGCATTTCGGTATCAGGATTAGACTTTTCAAAATAAAAAAATATTTGGGAAAAGTTTTCATACTCACAGATGTGAATGTGGGTGAAATATCTTTCGATTAATGCTCATTTTCAATGTTTTCACACAATGTTATTGTTATGTGACATGCCGACTTTAAATAAAGCTTTTGATTTGATTTGATAATATTTGCATGCAAATGTCTATTTAAAGTCAAATATATATTGACATGTTTAAAACGTGTTTACTACCATAGTTAAATCTTTCGATATTTTTCTTTCGGTACCTACAGTACAGGTAGAGTCTTATTATTATAAATAACGCACTAGGACATGTCGGAAATGAATAATCCGACAGTTTTGTGGTAGGTAGTATGGTCAATAATCAACAGATCCAGGTGTGAACTTTAATATAATTGTCCTTTAATTTTAATCCGTGCTACTAGACAATTATGCTTCACTGATTTCAGAATCAGGTTACCTGTGATTTAAACCTCTCACTTTATTGATTAGTTCTACATCGTATTTGAATTAAAATATTTTTGCAGATGAAGTAGTAATAAAAATAGTCTAATTCTTTAATTATGACTTTTTACATTTCAACTGCTAAATATATTCTTGGTTCTTAAAAAAAGTTTTTTATGTTACTTGTTTTTTTTCGTTTTGTATCTTTTTCGTATTTGTTGACATACAGTTTTTAAACATATTTTCTTTTTATTTCTGGAAGGTTCTTTTTGTTTTATTTATTTATTGTCCACGTACTTCCATTGATTAGCAGAATGAAGTGCAAATTGCATACGTTTTAGTTTGACGGTCACATGCAAAATATTTCTATATTTAACCACTATTTAATATTCAGTTGTGTTGGGTCAGTTCCGAAATTAAATTACAGTGATCAATACTTGTATAGTTTGATGATTCTTTAATTGTGAATTTTCTTTTTTTTTCTGCCGGTGTAAACGAATATTGTATTTGTCCGAAAGTTGGTGATATAATGTAACTAAAATAGAACGCAAATAATAACACAAGAAGAAGATAACGAATCAAGACAAAACTACGATTACCATAACACATGTGTTAAAACTAGATTCAGTTGTAAAACGAAACTTATTCGTCTTTTCTGTTTATTGATTGTGTATTTTGTGTTAAACGTGTTCAAGCTTGTGATTTCAACACTATAACAAAAAAAGATAAGCCCTGTCGGCAGGGTCGGTGTCAGTAATAAATTATTCTTCTCGGGCATTCGGTTTATTTTGATATTTTTGTGTTTGTTTAATATGCATAAAATACTAGTTAAGTAAATATCATATGGATGGTCTGATTTCTTGTTTCTGAGATGTAATTGTATTCTTGTTTTGCAATTTAATATGTTTTTGTCGTCGGAAGAAATGCAATTACTCCCATTTGAATAATTAAATGATGATGTATTGACTCTTTGTTGCACAATATTTATTCTCGCAAAATGCATGTAAACTTGTGTCTTGTATTTTGGACAGCGATCTAAGAATAAATTAATTTGCCGCTGGAAGACAATTTCATGATACACATATCAGTGATCAACAGAGTGTGGTTGAACTTGAACTTGAACTTGACTTCACTCACAATATTGAATGCTAAAAATAGCTGACATCAATTTTGTCCACTGCACGAGATTTTCATACGGCGGGAAATATCATGTAACAGTAAACACAGGTGACCTTACTGTACGACCGTGGGAAAATCCATTCAGGGTTAAATTGCTAAAGTAATAAGACTCTACCTGTACTGTACATTGATTTGCAATTTGAAAAAAAATAAAACATAACTTATTAGTTATAAACCATTATGAGTAATCATGATCCTACATTTTGTCAAAAGTAAAATAACAAAAATACCGAACTCAGAGGAAATTTCAAAACGGAAAGTCTCTAAGCAAATGGAAAAATCAAAAGCTCAAACACATCAAACGAATGGAGAGCAACTGTCATATTTTTGACTTGGTGCAGGCATTTTCTTATGTAGATTGTGTAGATGATGGTGGATTGAACCTGGTTTTGTAGCTAGCTTAACCTCTCACGTGTATGACAGTCGCATAAAATTCTGTTATATTGACAACTATGTGTGAACAAAACAAACTAATATAAAAGGTAAAAATGTCAAATCTTTTGGTACAATTGGTGACGTTTTTCAAAGTCTGATTGGCAGCTGCACGCTCTGGAATACCCAAAGCGTTGGGAAATATATATTTCCCATAAGCAGGTGAAGTTAGTATATTGCTACTAAGGTGAGGGAAATTGATAATTTCAAAATTAAAATCGTCTCGTTCGACATATATTCTAGTACTGAAAACAATTCAACTTACTTATATTTTGGCATTGCACACGGTCATGCGTTTCTGAGACTGTTTATGACTTCCTTACACGAAATCTGTTAGATGTCTACTGCTTGATACTTTAGTAAGTTTGAACATGATTTATATATTACCCTTCCGGAGCACCTGAGATCACCCCCAGTTTTTGGTGGGGTTCGTGTTGCTAAGTCTTTAGTTTTCTATGTTGTGTCATCTGTACTAATATTTGTCTGTTTGTCTTTTTATTTTTGGCCATGGCGTTGTCAGTTTGTTTTCGATTGATGAGTTTGACTGTCCCTCTGGTATCTTTCATCCCTCTTTTATATATTAGTTGTAATTGGCTTTTAACTAGCTTGCAGAATGAGCGAGTACTCTTTATATCGGTCATTTTGTGTCTATTGTTTTTATGATAGTTGCTTAATATGTGCTTTGTACAAATCTATTGAGTTAAGCGATTTGTATACTCATTTTTACACTTTGTTTTTATGTTTTGCCGTATCACAGCTGTCTCAAGTTCGGATAGTGTTGAGCGCTCATAAACATGTTTAACCCCACCATATTCTTTATATTCTTGTCCAAGGGGTTGTCGTTGGTGCACGTCTTGTCATATATTGAAGTATTAAAATAAATGCCATTAGTTGTCTCGTTTGAATTGTTTCACATTTTCCTTTTGTTTGCTTTTTATGCTTTACTGTACGGTATGGCCGTATTGTGATCTTTTATTACATTATATTAAATCATCTGAAATCTGGTTGTATTATTGGAAATACTACTCCATATCCATAATTGCCTATTGAAGGAAACATCATGAAATCCCTTATAACATTTTGCTCGAAAATGAACATAATTAATCATCGTATGAAATTAATAACAAAATTGATGTTATGGTGAAGGGCATTTTTTTGCCGTTACAGGAACCAACGTCTGCCCCTGTACATTATCTTTCTTGTTGTAGACCATGAATAATTGTACAGATTTTTACATCATAATCGACCAAAAATTCCACTGTCTTTAATATACCTGATGAACATATAAACCAAATACAGCACTGAGTAAGATGTTTAATTCCACTAACTTTAATATACCTGATTAACATATAAACCAAATATAGCACTGAGTGAAAAATACAAATCGTCAAAAGGCTGTTTTTTTAATCCGATTAAATATTCACCGAGGTCTGGGTTTTACTTTTGTAACCAGTAGCCTTATGCTTTTGATTCCAATAAAACAGAATTCATACATTTCGACGTTTGAAAGAAACAGACGGAATATTATTTGGTGATTGAAAAAAATATGTTCGTGATTAAAAAGATAGAATTCACAGTAGTCAGGGAAAGTCAGGGGTTTAAATGTAATTATTTCATAGTGTGTTTTTTATGTTGTAATGTTACGCTACAGTTTCAAGTTAGGATGAAGGTTGGCGCCTGTTTAAACCGCTTCATTTGTATGCATCTGTCTTAAGTCAGGAGCCTGATATTCAGTGGTTGTCATTTCCTGATGTGGTTCCTGAGTGTTTCTCGTTTTTTTTATATAGATAAGACCGTTGGTTTTCCTGTTTGAATTGTTTTACAATCGTCATTTTGATGCCCTTTATAGCTTGGTGTTACCCACGGCTCCATGTTGAATGCCGCACTTTGACCTATAATTGCTTACTTTTTACACATTGTGACTTAGATGGAGAGTTGTCTCATTGGCACTCATACCACATCTCCGTCTTCATATATAACCCCCTGCAAGAATCGAGTGATATTTATTAGAGTATAAGTGTTTAATATCAAATTGATATCAATGTATTGCTAACCCGTATTTCGCTTACGTTACATCTTATCATACTTTAACTACCCGGTGGAAGCGATCGGCGCTCATCATACATAATAGTTTCGCTATTGAAAGTTTCTTTACGCACTATTACATAGAGTTATACACGTTAAATTTCGTTTCATATCAACGCTTAAAACCGATCTGCAAATATCACTCCAGCGGTTTCAGTTTATTGCATGTTCAACGTTTTAATCTTTTCATGTATGCATTCACACTGCCTAAATAGTAATTATTATAGATGTAATACAAACAACTGTTAGTTGTCTGTTTTATGGAATGATCCATCAAAGATGTTATTATTATCATAATAGTTGTGATTTAATTATCGTCTAGTATTCTGTTAAAATACCACTGTATACGCGTACTAACATCGACCTGATTTAAAACAGCACATATAGCCTGACTTATAATATTTATAGCAGCAACCTGCCACCGCATAGTCGTTCGAAACAAACTGTTTAATCAACCTTTTTGTTCGTGTTACTGAGATGCTTACTTGTTATTGGATGCTGGCTGATATTTTTGTATAGTTATCGCTCTATATAAACTCAACAGATGAATGTTTAGTCTGGATGGTTATAGGCGTCGATTCAACCTTTAGAAGACGTTAATTAATAAGAGTATAAAGCAATATTCTTTGGTTTTTTTTTTTAATTAATCAATTTTATTGCACCTTTGCTGTTAACAATTTACTCAATCTACAGCTTCAATTAAGTATCCCTTTATATTAGTTATTGAATATCTAGGGAAAGATATTCAATAAAGTATATCTATAAAGTAAGTTATATTAATACAGATCAATACATTAGAACAATTCTACATAATTTTTGTTTTTTTTACCGGAATACGGTACGTTTCTTAACCTATACTGTATATGATTTTTTTTATCAAAGCTTCACTGAACCGCGAAATTGATGATGTATTGATCTTTGATACTGATAGCATGACTCTTCAGTCGACAATAGAATTTTGAACTTAAAACTTTTTGTTTTGTTTACAACACTGAATTATATAAGAAGTCTTGGATGATGAGGTAAAAATGTTTTTTTTTTCACACATTATTTTTTAACAGTAAATGTTGATTTCTATGATAAAGCCGAAGATCGAAAGTTGATCGAAAGTACACGTGGTCTTCAAATTATACATGTATGCAGTAACGTTGCATTGTGTTGTGTATTCTGCTCGCTCTCCTGCTCATTATAATTTTGCATTGTGAACAGGAATAAACATATTTAATAACAATTCGAATTCAGTGTAGCTGTAATAAATTATAAAAGAGTAAAATTGCGAATTTCAGTTAATGCACACCAATTGACTGGACACATGTGCAGTCATGTATTAATGTGGTCACAGCTAAGACTTGTATCTAATAATTGTCATTTCATTTAAAGGAATTCGAAATATTCCCTTGTTTTAAGTATTATTTTCTTGTTTTTTTTGCTTCTGATTTTATTTATGTTAATAATGTCCCAGATTTCATTTTTGAAGATTTTGAAGATATCAATGACCTTATCTTTCTTGTCAGACATATAATATGCTTTATAGATGGAAAAGAAAATTATAGTTAATAGATAGTTCATATCAAAATAAGCTTCATCATCAATTTTATAGCCATTATAGCCAGTTACTAAACTTTCAAGACTAAGTATATGCTTATCAATTTTTAAAAATGCTAATAGCTGGTCAACTTTATGCCAATAATGAACATTATATGAACAGGAAAAAAAGAAGTGTTTATAATCATCATGTTGCTTACAATAGAAGCACAAACCATTTGGTACTATTTTCCATTTATAAAGTAATTCATTACAGGCTAATATATAATGTATTAATTTCCATTTAAACATTTTTAATTTGTTGTTTTCAAGGTAGTTAAAAATAAAGTTAAATGTGGACTTCAATTTTGTAGTCATTTTTTTATGAAGAATTCTTTCCCACATTAAAACTCCTGTCGGTTTATCATGTGTAAATTGACTTTGCAAGAAAGTATATACTTCTTTGTTACTCATATCTGGTGAAATTTCATGTTTTAGTAGTATATTTAACTTCACTGATGTTTTTATATTGACAACAGTTTTGTAAGAGCTTTCTTGTTTTAAAATATTTTGCCAGTGCTTTGGTATAGCTTTTTTAACTAATGAAAATTCTCTAATCCAATCTTGTTTATTCTTTAAATTTTTTAGTACAGTTTCTGATGAGATGTATCCGTTTTCATCTAATATATTATTGATGTACAAAATATTACTATTAATCCAGTTTTGAAAGAACAAACATTTCCCATTTTCTTTGATAAGATGATTTCCCCATATAAGTTGTTTTCTAACCTGAAGAAAGTTTCTTGGTATGATTGTTTGGCCTCCTTTTATTTCTACCCATGTTTTAATTAATTGTTTATAAAATTCAGGTAAAGATTTATAATCTATTTTATTAAGCAAATTAACATTTGTTAAATTCATTCTGAATAAAAGAAAATCTTTCCCAAATTTATCAAGGTAAAATCTTGGAATAATTTTCCAGTTATCATTTTCCTTTTTGATTAGTTTTAAAACCCATCTGATTTGTAATGATTTAAGATAGCAGTCTAAATCAATCATTTGTAATCCTCCCTCAAGATATGGTTTACATAATATAGTACGTTTAACTTTATCTTTTTTTCCACTCCATATAAAATTATATATTAAATTCTTGAACTTTTGCTTTATTTCCTGTGTTATTATCATACTTGATGCAATGTATGTTAGGTTTGGTAAAATTAAAGACTTAACTACAGTTATCTTTCTTATTAATGTTAAGTTTCGTTTGTTCCATCCTTGAATTAATTTTTCACATTTGTCTATTTGCTTTTCTGTATTTAATTTATGACATTCTTGATAATTGTATCCAAAATATATTCCTAGACTTTTAATGTGGTCTTGTTTCCAGTTTATATTTTCAAATTTATCTTTTGAATGTTTAAGTTTCCCAAGCCACAAACCTTCTGTTTTATTTCTATTCAATTTAAGTCCAGAAAGGCTTCCAAAAGTTTCAATAATGTTAAGGGCTATACTTATTTCTTTGCGTGTTTTTAAAAACAATTGAGTATCGTCTGCCAACTGACATATTTTTAGCGAGCAAGATTTTCCATCTAATTTGATTTCAAATCCTTTTAGTTTGTTATTTTCCTTTAATTCAACAGATAAAACGAAAATTAACGAGGATAACGGACACCCTTGTCTAATCCCACAGAATGTATTAAAGGGGGCAGACACCCATCCATTATTTAAAATACACCCTTTTATATCTGTATACATAGTTTCAACCCATTTAATGAATTCCTTTTTAAAACCAAATTTTTTTAAAGATTCAAACATAAAACACCACTCCAGTGAGTCGAAAGCTTTAGTAAAGTCTAAAAATAAAATTGCACCATCTACTTTAAATTTTTCAGAATAATCAATGATGTCTTGGATTTGTCTAATATTAAATCCTATGTATCTGTTTTTTATGTAACCTTTTTGATCAGAGTGAATTATTTTTGGAAGTACTGATTTTAATCTTTGCGCTAAGGCATAGGCTAATAATTTAACATCATAATTTAATAATGTGATAGGTCTATAGTTATCAAGGGAGAGTGGATCATTTTTTTTTATACAAAAGAGATATAGCTCCAATTTTTTGGGAGTTGGTTAATTCACCTTTTTTAAAGCAGTAATTGAAAACGGGTACTATCAAATCTTTAATTTGTTCCCAGAACTTTCTATAAAACTCAACATTTAGTCCGTCCAAGCCTGGGGCTTTGTTCAGTTTCATTTTAAATATAGCCTCTGTGCATTCACTTATAGTAATTTTTCCTTCACATATATTGCTTTCATTTTCATTAATTTTTTTACATTCTTTAATAGTTTCAAAGTACTTTCTTACCTCTTCTGTGTCAGGTTTTGTTGAAGTATATAATTTAGTATAATAATTAACTTCTAGATTTATTATTTTGTTTTGGTCATATGTTACCTGTTTATTTTCATCATACAGTTGAGTTATAGTTTTTTTTACTTTGCCTTGTTTTTTCTAGGCCAAGAAAAAAGGATGTGTTTTTCTCCCCTTCTTCTAGCCATTTCACACGTGATCTTATTTGATTTCCTTTAATTTTTTCATTATATAAGCTTGCTAATTGTTTTTCTATAGTTTCTTTTAGGTTAATTTTCCTCTCATGTGTATTGCTGTCACAATCAATTTCAGCAGATAATGTTTTTACTGTGTTTTCTAAAATTTCAATATTATCTTTTTTAATATTTGCTTTTAATTTACAGTATTGAATGGTATAATCCCTTACCTCAACTTTAAAATTATCCCATAAAATATCTAGGTTTAGAGATGTTTCTGCTTTTGTTTTATATGTATTAATCAACTTTGAAATAATTTTTTTATACTGTTTATCATCTAGGATGCTACTGTTTAAGTTCCAGTAACCTCGCCCTTTTGAGTTTCTATTTATGTTGATTTTTAATGAAACGGCGTAATGATCAGTGTGTTGAAGTACTATTGGTCTTATATCGCATGAAATGCAATTTTTATTAACTTCATCACTTACTAAAAAATAATCAATTCTTGTAGATTCTGATAAGTTTTTTCTTCTCCAGGTAAATTGGGTTTTATTTATGTTTTTGCCTCTCCAGACATCGGTTAGTTTTAGATTCTTAATCAATGTCTTGAGGTTATGAACTGGTTTATCAAATTTTTTATTTCCTAATTTTTTCTTTGTATCTTTTATAGATAATATGTCATTGAAGTCACCCCCAATTATTAACTGGCCAATACTATGATCTTCAATTAATTGTTTTACTGATTTAAAAAAAGTATTTCTTGTTTTACAATTATTAGGTCCATATAGGTTCACTAAGGTGTATATATTGTCATCTATTTCTATATTAACTAGTATGAATCTACCTTCTGAGTCTTTATATTTGTCAATAAGCTTGTAGTTTAATCTGCTTTTTATCCATATAGCCACCCCTCTTGCATTACTTAACCCATTATTTAAAATTAATTCACCTTTGCATTCTTGTTTTAACTTTGATTCTAAGGTGTAAGTAAAATGAGTTTCTTGTAGGAATACTATATTACATTTTTGTTGATTAGCCCATTCAATAATTCTGTTTCTTTTTTCAGATTTTTGTAACCCGTTGGTATTTACGGTGCAGACATGGATACAGTTTTTATGTATCATATTGTATTATTATTAAGAAGGTGAGCTAGTATAATTAAGGAGTTTTGTTCAGTTTGAAAGTAAGTTGAACCTGTAAATCCACATGAATTTGAATTTAAGATTTTCTCTTTATCCTTTCTTTGTTGGTTTTTTTTGTATGACATTTTTATCAGTATTAAATTCTTTATATATGTACATCTATATACAACCATAATTATCATGATTATTAATGTGCAAACATTACACAACATATCAGTTACTGACCTCAATATATAGGTCGTGAATTGGGTCAACAATGTGACTTGAAATACAGACCCCTTTGTGTCCAAAAAAAATATTTTGGACTCATTAAGTTTGTATACATACATGCAAATACAATCAATAGAAAAATATATACAAAGATGATTAATAGAAAAAAAACATGACTTTAAACTAAACACTATATAAACAAAATTGTTAAATGTTTTTACATGTACTATAAAAATACATACTGGACTATTATTTACATGGTATTTACAGAGCCAATGTTGCATAGTATTGTTGGCTACTTGATAAGTTAAGTGAAATACTAGTATGTTTATGATCAATATTTGTATTGTATGACTTATGAATGTTTTAGTGTCAATTATAATAATCGATCTATGTTTTGATTTTTGTAGGTGTACTTTATCCTTTTGAGGTTTGGTGTATATTATAATCCCATATCCGCTTTAACCAAAACTATTGAAGGATTTATTACAATTATATAGGAAAGAGTTAGTTTCCGACAAGCTTTTTGAAAACATATATGTGAAGTGAATGTACATGTGCAGCTTTGCAATAAGTGAAAAAAAAAAAGACACAAAGAATTTTAATAATAAAAAAAAGATCTAAAGATGTTGAGATTGTGCACACGCTGCTTACCACTGGACGTGAGAAATTGTACATAGTTACCAAAGGATTGTAAATTACTAATAAGAGAGGAGATATTTAGTTGTGATTATATAGACTGATAATTGAGTGATATAGAATTAAATGATGACTTATAGTTTTATGGTCTATTAATTTTTTTATTGTGGTTAAATGATACCTGTAATGATAATAAAATATTAATTTAATACATCATTATATTCATATTGTTGTGTTTTTGATTCTCATACAAACACAGGTAAATTAACTACATGTATGTATATAATTAGGTATCAGTTGTTTTGGACCTCTTGGCAGTAGAATCACTCTCTTTGTCGTGAAGCTTCTCAGTTGGTGTTACTGGGGACTTCAGAAATGTAATACTAACAGGTTGTTTTGATGGAGTTTGAGATTTTTTGGTTGATTCTTGTGTGCTCTGATTACCGGACATGAATGAGGTTATTTGAGCTTGACTGGGATCACCCTTTTTATTACTGTTCTTTTTTTTTTATTTTCTTTCGTTTTTGTGGATCAGCTACAGGATTGATAATAGATTGCGACTGTCCATTGTCATCTTCACATCCAGTAGTTGATGCACCTTCACGTTCAGTAAATGATGCGCCTTCATGACCGCTCACTCCGGTAGCTGATGCACTTTCACATGTTACATCATTGTTGGTTTGGACGGATATTTGTGTTGCATCAGTGCCAGTTTCAGATTCGGAAGTTTCATCATCCGCATCACTTGTTTCATTGTTTTCTTTATCTGATTGTTCGGGTACGTCTGAGAAAGTATCTTTGGTACAGGCATTTTGTTTGTGTCCTTCTTGTCCAAATGATCTGCATACCCAATCATTGGTACAATCTTTTGTTTGGTGACCTTCTTTCAGACATTTCGAACATTTTTTATTTTGAAAGTTGTTTTTAGGCTGATCACGATAGAGGATGGTGGCTCTATATTTGCCAATGAGAATGGATCTTGGGATGTGCTCTGTTAGCGGTCCATCACAAATGATGATCCTCTCTCCGGTTAGGCAGTTGGTCAGTTTGTAGTTATATCGTAATCGTTCTCTAAAGTTGCTCAAAATTGAGCAACCATATTTTTCCAACTCCCTAATAATTTGTCCGTCGTCTGCTGAAAGAGGTACGTCTTTTACTCTTATTCGTACATTGTTGATGTTTTCATGTGCAGTCACACGTGGATTTCTTGAGTTAGTCCAGACTGATTTACCACGAACTGTGATGCATTTGGATATAAGGATATCTCTTTCAGATTCGTCATCAAGGTAAATTCTCCATAAGCCTCGGATTCTTTGAAGGCCAATAATTGTTCTATCGGGTACAACTTCGCTGACAGCTTTGTACATTTCAGTGTGTGTCAGGTATAATTTTTTCAGAGTCTCTCCGTCAGATATTGATCCAAAGACATCTGATTCCAATGTAAATACAGGTTTAACACTAACCATGTCTGAGGGTTCAATTGTTTTAGGGTCTGTTTTAATTTTTTCTGCATAGGACGCCATTTTGGGTTCACTTTCTTCATTAGATTTTGCCATAACTTGCCTGAATTCAGCTATTCTAAAGTTTTTTTTTCTACAATTAGTCACTTAAAGACTAGAACTACATACAAGCAAGCAGCTATAATACTATGAAGTGATTGTCGATGAGAAAACAAAGTTAATTACGATTTTTGTCTTTAAGTAGTTACACACCCGATACCTTAGTCAAGGGCCGTAACTCCATCCGCAATATTCTTTGTTTGTTCAATTATATTTCTACAGATCTTTGCACTAGGATGAATAAAAGATGGTCATCCAAAAAACGGGAAACGGCTCCACAAACCTCAATGTCTCATCACTACAAGAGGAAACACAACCTCCAACCAGTTCATGTATCGGCATATAACGATCAGGAGTATTAGTCTCGTTGATGTAGTTAATCGACCATTTTATGCAATAAGTCAAGATCGATCGAAGGTCAGGCAAACATCTAATTAGTTTCCGAGTTTTAACGATGACATACTATTGCATTTTCGTCAGGACTTAAAACGTTTCCTCAATATTGACACAGATGGACGACTTCACACTAAATTCTATGACAAACGGGATGATTTCAACTTCCCAATTATCAATTTCCCATTTCTCAGCAGGAACATACCCTCTGTTTTGTTGTATGGTGTTAAAATATCTCAATTGATACGTTACGCTCGTGAATGTTCACACTATACATAACCCCATAGACAGGAGTGTGCTCCTTCCACAGAAACTGCCCCAACATAGTTATGAGGATGAAAGATTAAATATGAAAATGTCACGAATTGGTTGATTTATACGATGTGTCTATGTCTTAACCAACTAATGACATTTCTACCACGTCTTATATTGTGGTTCAACACATATGTCGTCTGTCTGATAAGACCCGAACGTGAGATATTCCCGAATATGGCTGTTTTACCGAGTGACAATTTGCATCGTCATACGAGGTGTCTCGGCATTTCAAACATCTATCATTCATGTATTTATAAATGATGTTTAAGTTGTGTTATATCTTACCGTTTGTAGTCCAAATAATTATAAAATAGCCTTTATAAAACTGTCATTGTCATGATAATTGTTTAGACTGGTACGTTGAAAAATAATTTTATAATTTCAAGAATAATATTCGTTACATTAGTGCGACACTGTTTGTGATGTCCTGTACTGTCTGGAAGATATTTGTGTTGTTCTGTGGTGTTCATGTTGTGTCGACTATTATATTGTTTGTTTGTGTGTTTCCCTGTTACAAGTGCTCTTGCGTGTGTTTGTGCTGTATTTCTATGATGTATTTTCGTCATTTTAGCAATATTTTAACATTGCCATATAAGCACGACGTTTGGCTAGCAATACAACCAGGTTAAACCCACCATAGTAAAACAATGTCCAGTACCAAGTCCGGAATATGGCAGTTGTTATCAAAAAGTTCTTTTTTATGCATTTTGGCGTTTGTATTTGTTGCACTTCAGGGTTCCTGTTGTTCCTTTGTTTTCCTCTTATAGGTGGCGTGTTTACCTCTGTTTTACTTCGTAACCTAGATTTGTTTTCTCTAAATCAATTTATACTACTGTTGCCTTTTTTTGAATTCTAAGGGAAAAGTATGTCGATTTTACTCTTCCTATGAAAAAAAACATAGACAATTCGGCGGTTGTCGTTCTTATTTATATCAGAATATATTGTTCGGTGAATCTTCAGAAATTCAAAGAATATTTGAAGTACACGTCGAATGGCAGCTGGTAGACCTAAATTTCGTATATATTGTAGGTACACCAGTTGCAATTTGGAATTTTGTTTCATCCTTTGAAACAAAAATGGAAGCATTCAAGCTATTAAAAAAACAAGGTGGCATTCGTTCTTGCACTAATAAAAGGGAATACGGTTTTCAAAATTTGTTCTGATTTGGGACCAAATATGTTTTAGAGAGATAATTATATCTAGTATACGTATTATGTTAGAACAATTCTTGTATTTTTCCGTTTATATGAAAATGTCGTACTGTATATTTTAGTTAGGGACACATTTTGCTGCGTTTCTTTTATAAATGCGTCATATATTTCATATTAAATTCACCTTCCGAAACGTTTTATATTATCGGTCTTTGTATTCCAGGACCCACAACACAAAATTCATTTACAAATTTTTGTATCTCAGGGTTCATTTAATTGGATGCTTCATTTATTGTAAATAATGAGTTATCTTGTAAACATTTTTTGGTGTGCGAAAATTAAGTGGTAACTACGTTCATTTAATTACCTCTCTCTCTATTTATAAACATATCTTAATTGTTTATTTATGTATATGTGTTTATACTTTTGTAATTAAACTTATGGCATATACTGCCAACACCATATTTCTGATTATTGTGTTATGAAACATACTCTTTAAAATGTGTACATATGTTAGTATATACAAATTTATTTTTTAAATGAATATGGTTTGATAGAGTATATTTCACTTGAATATACCATTTTCTGTATTGTATTTCAAGCTTGGCCTTCGTAAAACGTAGATTTTACGAAGGCCAAGCTTAAAATACAATACAGTTATCTCCATTCTAATGCAGCATATTAAAATAAATACCATTTAACAAATATTTTGGCGTAAAATGACATAAATGAAAAAGTCCGCGAATCTGTTGCATTGTCTTTAGCAACTAAATAATGTGACGTCATATGTATACTCACGATGTCTCTAGACGTATTTATACCTCTCGTACGCTTCAAAATGGTTTCGACTTTGACAAAAAGAAAATTTTGAGGCTTAAAATGTGAGTTTCATGTTGATTTTGTGAGAAATTATATACCAAAAAAAAAAATCGGATTTCAAAATGGTGGCTTTCTTAGTTACGGACTGGTAGAACGTGGAATTTACCCCTTCAAAATATTTGTCAACGTCGATTGAAAATTATCGTTAAAAACGAATTGCATTAGAATATTACTTTGATAGAGGGTTACGGCTCACAGGAAAGCCATTAAACCAAGAGTTCCAAGTTTTGAAGTGGGAATCACCAATTTGTAAATGTTATAGACCTCATCAAGAGTTAGTTGACCGTTATGGCATATCTGTTTTACTATAGACGATGGATATGTTCCAATTCAAACCACAATCCCGTCCTTATTTTCCGGAATGTGACCTACCGAATTAGACCTATTATCGGGTTTGTACTTACAAGAGCAACACGACAGGTGCCGCATGTGGAGCAGGACCTGCCTATCCTTCAACAGCATATAAGATCACCCTGGGTGTTTGTAGGATTCGTATTGCTCAGTC